ATGGAATCAATTATTAACCAATCCATTATCCTCCAGTTAGAGACAAACAACCTATTCTCTAATAAACAATTTGGTTTCAGGAAAAAACTATCCTGTAATCTGCCACTCTTACACTGCAAAAACATAAGGACTACACAACTCGATCAGGGCAAAACAATAGACACAATCTACATAGACTTCTGTAAAGCCTTTGATTCAGTGGTACATGACAAAACTACTCCTAAAACTAAAATCTTATGGTATCTCTGGACACTTTCATAACTGGATAGAAGCAGGGGTGGGATTCTACCAGTTTGCACCTATTCGCTAGAACCGGTTGTTAACATTCTAAGCAGTTCGGAGAATCAGTTGTTAGAAGAAATTACTGGCCTAATCCTGTAAGGAAGGCAGGCAGGAAACATTCTGGTGTTGCTTATAGAAACTGCCTCTCCGTTAACCCTTATTACATTCTTGGCAGGACTAGACTTCCTGTTTCTGGAACTTCTCTGGAGTTTTTTCCCCTCCTTTGCTGGTACTTTGCTTGTGTGGAGTGACCAATGGCAGTGAAAAAAGTGTCATTTTTCACACTTTATGACTGTTGCGGCATCCCCACAGTCATGAGAGGACAGGTGGGGAGATGCGTGCCTTGATGTGAGTGATATTGAGTTGGCCATGCCCAGCCAATAACATGACCACCAAGCCATGTCCACCCAGTCATATGTTACCAAGCCATGCCCACCAACTAAGCCACACCCACAGAACCAGTTAAAAATTTGAATCCCACCCCTGGATAGAAGCATTCCTGTCAAACAGACAACAAATAGTCAGAATTGGGAGCATCCTATCAAATTCTGCACCTGTCAACAGTAGTGTCCCCAAGGCAGTGTTCAAAACCAACTCTCTTCATACTCTACATAAATGACCTCTGTGATCATATTAAGAGCAACTGCGTTCTCTTTGCTGATGATGTAAAGCTATTCGACACCACCAACAATACTGTTACCCTTCAAAAAGACCTCAACTAGGTTTTCTAGGTCTAGAATTTCAAGTCTGGTGGCATAAGGTATTCTGCAATGAATAGAGGAGTGGAGAACTCTTCTCGTGAAATATTTCTGGGCTTTATCAACTTGTATGTAATGCGGGTTCCAAACTGATGAGCTGTATTCAAGTATTGGTCTAGCAAATGTTTTGTATGCTCTAGTTAATAGTGTGATATTACCAGAGAAAAAGCTACATAAGATCAGGTTAACAACACTTAATGCCTTTTTGGCAATGTAGTTACAGTGGGCTCTAGCACTTAGATCATTAGAGATGAGTACTCCAAGGTCCTTGACAGAGTTTGGATCATCAACAAGGTCTTGACTATTCAGCTTGTATTTTATTTTCTGATTTTTTTTTGCCAATATGTAAAACAGAGCATTTATTTCTGAAATTTGAAGTTGCTATTTGTTTGACCATTCTGATACATAGTTGAGGTCTTTTTGAAGGGTAGCAGTATTGTCAGTGATGTTGAATAGCTTTACATCATCAGCGAAGAGAACGCAGTTGCTCTTAATATGATCACAGAGTTAGAGCTAATCCCACTTCTGAATCAATCAATTAGGAGAGAAAGCAACAACTGTGGTAGGCTTAACTTTTAAACAGGAAAAAGGATAGATATAAGACAAGTGAAACTGTTACTTATAGACTAACCAGATCACTTTGCAGATCTCCAAAATGAATTGAGGGTGATGGGGCCTTTAAAAAAGCAGTTGTTCTGACTTTGAGCCAGCTGCTTCACAGCAAATGCTTTGACGGATATTACTACTTGCTGAATGGCTGCCAGCTAGAAGGAATGCATGTGATTTTTTGCTAACCTTTAAGCAATCTAATGTCCCTAGTATGCTTCTTAAAATGAAGCCTTTTTTGAACTCCTTCTCAATATTCCCAGTACGTGTCTTCTATTCAAAGAAAGCTAGCCTACTTTTGAATCAATTTTCCAAAGAAGGTATTACCACTTTAAAACTTAAATATGGTATTAATAAGACAGATAACCTTGAGGTTGCTTTAGCCTACCTAATAGCCTCCCGTGTTTTCAATACAAGGATTGGGGAGAATGAGAAAGTACTTCTTAAAAAAATGTATATTAGAATAGAAGAGTTGGAAGAGATCTTGGAGGTCTTCTAGTCCAACCCCCTGCCTAGGCAGGAAACCCTACACCTGAACCCCACTTCAGACAAATGGTTATCCAACATCTTTTAAAAATCTTCCAGTGTTGGAGCATTCACCAACTTCTGGAGGCAAGTTGTTCCACTGATTAGTTGTTCTAATTGTCAGAAAATTTCTCCTTAGTTCTAAGTTGCTTCTCTCCTTGATTAGTTTCCACCCATTGCTTCTTCTCCTGTCTTCAGGTTCTTTAGAGAATAACTTGACTCTTTGTGGCAGCCCCTGAAATATTGGAACACTCCCATCATGTCTCTCCTAGTCCTTCTTTTCATTAGATTAGACATACCCAGTTCCTGCAACCATTCTTCATTTAAATGGTTGTCCACTAGGATTCTTAGATCCCTTTACAGTTACTACTATTGAGCAAGGTACCACGTAGTGTACCACTGTGCATTTAATTTTTCTTGTCTAAATGTAGATAGAACCTTACTTTTTTCACAATTGAATTTGTTAGATCGGGTACGACCAGCCAATGACAGGTCTTTGAATCTCCCGTGATCGGCTCGGCCAATCGTGGTTGATTCTTAGCGGACCAATCACTGCCGTTCAGTGGACCAATCCCAATGTCGTTTGTGTGGACCAATCAGAAATTAGTATTTGGAATATGTTAATACAGAACACCCCTCCCCTCTTGGTTCAGTCCTATGGGACGTAGTCGTGCAGGTAGGCAGGGCTCCTTGACCTGCGCAGCTCAGTTGCTGTCTGGTCGTCGGCCGGTTCAGGTGGATTTCTTGCTGCTCTCATCCTCCTCAATGGAACCGCCTGGAAGGGTGAGTCAGGCCTATCGCTGCAACTCCCACCCGGTCTACCAGGGTCGGTCGAGTTGTCAGCTCCGCTGTTCCCACCTGGTCTTTCCGGGCTGGTTGAGCTGGCTTGGCTGCTCCTTCCAGATGAAGCACCCTGTTGCTCGTCTGCCGCGGGTTCCCTTCTGTTGACAACGTCTACCGGTGAGTATTGCTGGTTTATTTTGGCTTGGGGGTGTTTGGGTTGTGTTTGGGAATTTTCTTCTTCTCTTTGCGTGTTGCTTGGGGTTTCCCCCCCCCTCTGGTTTCTTTGTTAATGTTTATTTGTGGTATTTGTGTGCTGTTCGTGTTGTTGTTGGTTGTTCTCAACCTTAGTTGGTTGATGTGTTGTTTCCAGCTTTTCCCATCATCTGTTTGTAGTCGATACAACTGGGCACCCGTTACCTGGGTTATCTTTGCCAGCACCCAGAGCGGGTCCCCTGTGAAGTTTTTTGCATAGACTGCGTCTCCTGGGGCAAATATTCGGAATTTGCTCGATGAGTCTGGGGATTTCTCGGGGTTGTATGTGGGGTGTAGTCTGTCTAGCTGGGACCGTAATTTTCTGCCCATCAGTAGCTCTGCTGGGCTTTTATTTGTCCTTGTGTTGGGTGTTATGTGTTGTATCAGTAGCATTTTATTTAGTTTGTCATGTATGTCCCCGGTTTCAATTTTTTCTATTGTATTTTTTGTGTAATGAACCATGCGTTCTGCCCACCCGTTTGCCGCCGGATGAGCGGGAGCTGTCAACGCATGCCGTATGCCCCGTTCAGCCAGGAATTTCTCGAATGCTAGCGCGGTAAATTGTGGTCCGTTGTCTGACACTAGCACCTCTGGTAGTCCATGGGTGGTAAACAGTTTGGTTAGTTCTTTGATAACGGCCTCCATAGTGGTGGATTTCATGACGCTAACCTCCAGCCAGTTGGAGTAAGCGTCGACCGTTATTAGGAAAGTGTGTCCCTTTGTGGGTCTGACAAAGTCTATATGGACCCTGGACCATGGCCCTCTGGGGGTCTCCCATTCCAGAAGCAGCGCAGAGGGAGGGTTTGGTCTGGCTTCCTGGCATTTCCGGCATGAGGCCACCCACGTTTCAATCTGCTTGTCCATCCCTGGCCACCAGGCATAACTCCTGGCCAGGGCTTTCATCTTAACTATGCCCGGGTGCCCCTCATGCAACATAGTCAACACTCTCTTTTGTAGTGTTTCAGGGATTACCATCCTGTCTCCCCAAAGTATGCAACCCTTCTGTGTGAACAGCTCAGTCTGCCGGTTTCGGAAGGTTTTAAACTGCTCGCCTCTGTTGGTTTCCGGCCACCCTTTCTCCACCCAATTCAAGACCTGCGCCAGCCGCTTGTCTTTATTAGTCTCTTTGGCAATGTCTGATGCGGTCAAGGGTGGATTGGGTAGTGTCTCTATATGTAGCGTTGAGGTTGTGGGTACTGGGTCGTCTTCCAGGTCGGGCAGGGGGGAGCGGCTCAGGGCATCTGCATGTGTGATGCTTTTTCCGGGTCGGTGTGCCAGCTGGTAGCTGTAGGCGGCAAGGAACTCGGACCACCTTGTCATCCTTGGTGACAGTATGTTCGGGGTGGCCTTGTTCCCTACCAGTATTCCAAGTAGCGGTTTATGGTCAGTGATAATTGAAAAGGTCCTACCGTATAAGTATTCGTGGAACTGCTTCACGCCGGTGATTACTGCTAGCGCCTCCTTGTCCAGCTGGCTGTAATTTCTCTCGGACTTGGACAATGTTCTTGAGAAGAAGGCAATTGGTGCTTCTCTCCCGTCCGGCAGAGTGTGGCTTAGGATGGCTCCCACGCCAAAGGGTGAAGTGTCGCAGGTCACGGTCAACGGTGGGGTTTTGCTGTACTGCATGAGGACTGCATCTGATGTTAGTAGGTCCTTTATTTTCTGGAAGGTGTTTTCTTCCCGCTTTCCCCAGGACCAGGTAGCTGTTTTGTCCAGCAGCCTATGTAGGGGTTCCGCCGTGGTCGCCTTCTGGGGCAGGAAAACATTGTAAAAATTAATGAGTCCAAGAAAACCCTGCAGTTCCATTTTATTTTGAGGTCTAGGGGCTTCTTTGATGGCTTTAACCTTTTTTTTCTGTGGAGTGGATTCCGTTTTTCTCAAGTAGGTATCCCAGGAATTCTACTTTCTCTGTGCATAATTTGCACTTTTCCTTTTTAACTTTTTAGCCCGGTGTCTTTAAATTTTTGTAGGACCTCCCTTAGGCAGCTCTCTAGTTGGTTTTTATTTTTGACAGATATTAACACATAGTTGTAATAGGGTACCACCCCTTTTATTCCTTGTAATAGTCTTTCCATCAGACTCTGGAATACCCCTGGTGCCATGCTGACTCTGAATTGGAGTCTTTTGCATAGGAATGCCCCCTGGTGGGTCACGATGGTTTGCACCTAAGCAGTTTCAGCGTCGACTGGCAGCTGCTGGTATGCCTGTGCCAGATCGAGCTTTGTGAACACTTTTCCTCCCCAGTGAGTGTAGGAGGTGCTGTACTACCGGGACGGGGCAAGCACTCTGCTGCAGCGCATGGTTGAGGGTAGCCTTGTAGTCACCACAGATCCTCACGGACCCGTCCGGCTTAATCGGGGTGACTATTGGGGTTTCCCACCGGGTATGGTCTATCGGCTCTAGGACCCCTTGTGCGATGAGCTTGTCCAATCGATTTTGGGCTTGAGCACAAAAGGCACTTGTCGTGGCTTAAGGCAAATAGGGGCAATGTTTGGGTTTAGGCTGAAAGATATTGGGGACCCACGGTACTTGCCTAGGTCGCCGTTGAAGACCTCCTGGAAGTCCCTCACGAGTGTCTCCTCCCAGTCTGCTTCGGTGATGTGGTTGATGCCAGTTACCTCAATCCCCAATGGCGCGAACCACTCCAGTCCCAGCAGGCTCGGGTGGTCTTTGTCCACAATGATGAGCGGAAGCACCTCTGTATGCCCTTTGAATGCCACTTTAAAATGTCCAATCCTGGCCACGGGAATGCGGTTTCCCTGATAATCCTTCAGGGTCAGCTTCTGGCTCTCCAATTCGCATCTGTGGATGGTAGGCACCAGATGCTTGATTGTACACCAGGAGACCATGGAGAGGTAGGATCCAGAATTTACCTCCATCCCGCATGGCTGACCCTCAATGCTCACCTCCACGTGCATCTTCCGGGCATCGACTGTGTTCGAGTGCCCGATGATGACCATCTGGTGGGCCTCTTCTTTGCGCCGGATTTCGCTGAACCGCTTGTTTCTTCCGTCTCGGCTCCACTGGCTCTCTATATGTCGGTATCTGGTTCTGGGGGGTGTGCCATCTTGTCACCGGGGGCTGTGATTCCTTTTGTTCCAGCATACCTTGGCGATGTGTCTCCGTTTGTCGCAGTGCCGGCAAATGGCGTCTAGAAACTGGCACTCCGAACGGGGATGGTCGCCTCCGCACCCGGCACCCTGGAACCCCGACTTATGACCTCTCTGTTCTCGTCGGTCTTGTTCTGCCTGCAGTCTATGGATCTCCTCGTCCTCAGTTTCGGAGAGGGAATCGATATCCCCGTGGTGGGTAGTTGTGTCTTTGTGTCTGGCCTCCAGTCGTTTTTCCAGGTTTGGCGTCATTTCTGTGGCTGTCAGGCGGTCTGTTGCGTTCATCTGCCACATCTTTGCCACTGACTGCTTCGCTGCCTCGGCCGTAGTTGTTTCGGTGATGGCCTCGGTTACGGAGACGTCTTTTCGTGCCATCAGTCGGCTCTGGAGAATGAGGTCCCTTAGTCCGAGGACCACGTAGTTGCGTAGGGCCTCGTCCATGTCAGTGAACCTGCACATTCCCCCGAGGTCTCTGAGGGTGGCCACGAAATCGCTGATGCTTTCGCCCTCCTTCTGATCCCTCCAGTAGAATTCGTGCCGCCGGATGAGGTTGGGTACAGCGGGGGCGTAGTGGTTCTGCAGCAGTTGATCTAGGTCGGTCTAGTCCATCTCCTTCACATCTCGGGGTTTGGCTAGTGCTTTGGCCATTTGGAACACTGCGGGCCCACAGTGTGTCAGGAACACGACCCTCTTTTTCTGATCGTTGGCATCTTTCAAGTTGCTGCTCTCAAGGAACATGAGGAATCGATCGATGTACAATTCCCAGTCCTCAGCTGCTTGGTCGAACGGTGCAGGTGGCGAGTTGCTGCCGGCCATCTCATCGGGAGTTCAGCGTTGATTTGCCACGTGCTCTGTTGGTCTCTTTGTCTCACGATCCCACTCTTGTCGCCAGTGTTAGATCGGGTATGAAAGAGACGCAAGGCCAGTGTACTTCAAGTTCTTTATTTCATGTATAGATCTGTACATGATCTTGGAGCCACGGGAGCCCTTCATATAGGGATTGCTTGCGGCTTGCCAGCCAATGACAGGTCTTTGAATCTCCCGCGATCGGCTTGGCCAATCGTGGTTGATTCTTAGCAGACCAATCACTGCTGTTCAGTGGACCAATCCCAATGTCGTTTGTGTGGACCAATCAGAAATTAGTATTTGGAGTATGTTAATACAGAACAGAATTTCTTTTTGTTAGATAGCGCCCAATCTTTTCCATACCTTGTATTATACATTAACTTGATTTTTTATAATCTACTTGGACTTTGGAATTATGGCGAAAAGAAAGTGGGCAGTTTGGGTTCTGGTGAATTGTCGTACATACTTCTTGCACTTTCTGTGATTTTTTTTAGGGACCAGGTTGATATTCAGATGACTAACCAGATTCAGAAGCTGGGAAGAGCCCAAATCAGCACCCATTTTTAAAGTCTAGTTTTAACAGCTGGTTTATCTCTTTTCTGGCTATGGGAAGCCACTCACCTCATATAACCTATGCAATGAAAATGCCCAGGGGAGAAGGTTCCAACCTTTCCATGAGTGGAAAGAAAAACCTGCTTTTCTGCTGATAGACGTAACTAAGTGTTATAGAAACAGACCTGGAAAATGCCTAAAGATGTCAATATAGAACCTGAATGGGCACTCTAACAATAAATATATGGTTACTGTCAATAGATCCCATACTCCCCCACAATGATTAAAGATTGTCTTTTGATTCAGTAGACTTTAATAGGAACTTATCAGAAGAAACTACAGCTGCTTTGGGAATAGTTCTCTATAATGCTGAAAACTATATGGAAAGACTTGGGTAGCCTTCACCAACTACAATACCTGCATTTTTTATTATGCCTTTCATGCAGATCAGTACAGATGCTGAAAAGACCAATCAACATTTAAACTACAAGTTTACCACACTGCACTGCCATATATTCAACCTCCAGTGAATACTTGCAGAAGAATGGGCATAGGAGATTGTGAGGGTTGTAACTTATGGGGATAATTGGCCTTATTTTCATAGTGGATGTTACACCATGATCACCTGTTGAGTTAGAAGGATAATTTTCTTATTGATATGTCCTTTAAACTTGCTGTAAATTTAAAACTGGAGGATTTTTGAGTTTGTACAGAATCTATGGACTGAATCTCTTTGTTGAGAGTTCCTTAATACTTCATGACACTGCCTTTCTTGATGCATCTTATTTATTGCTCAATCACTAGATTCCAGAATGACTCATGAAGACCTAAATGTCTGGATATTTACTCTTTTTTTCTTGATATGGGTAATGCTTATTGCATGTATGGCAAGTCCCCTCACATCACAAGCGATTTTGTTGATTTTTAAAGTCTCTGCTATGCTACAAGCCAGACAAACTCTGAAGGATAGTTAATCTTAGATGTGTGTACCTGCTGTTTATAAAATGTTACTTCATACATGGTATGGTGTTCTGTTTCACCTTTCTTCTTTTCTCAAAAGATGAAAGAGTACAAACTCACACAAACATAGGCAGGCAGGCTGGCTCGGACTTCACAGAGTTAATTCTTTGGAACTGATAACGTCCTTGGCATTCCAACACGCTTGGCCTGCCAAGTCCGAACTGATAACAAGTAAAAAGCTACTTACAGAAAATTACAAGGCAGACCACAAGAATCATTCACAAAAAAAACCTGAAGTAAGATCAAACTTTGTCCCGTACAAAGTTCCAGCTGACAACACACCCACTTTTATCCCCTGTGGAGTGTGGCTTAATGACTCAGCTCACTCTATGACCCTCCCACACCTCCTACGTTGCTGCTCACGTTTCTCCCTACGACACTGCCTAGGATCAAGCCAACATTCTTCCTCTTGACTCCCTGTCAGGGGCTGCTCCTATATGCCTTCCTCCTGATTAATCTCAGGCTGTTCCTCTCGGTTGTCCGATGAAACCTGAGGCATTATCAGGGAGGAAGGCATTGCCAGAGAGGAAGGTCCTGGGGAGGAAGACATTCCCAGTTCCTCCTCCTCATCTTCCAAGTCCTCTTCCTCTAGCAGCACAGGCTCGGGAATCGGAGCCACAACATTATGGTATATGTACTCTGGGAGTTTTATTTCCAGTAGTACATGTATATGCATATACATATGTATATTCTCAGTTTTTAGCATGGCATCACAACTTCTGTTATTGCATTAATCAACACATACTAATCTTTTGATTAAATGGAAATACCCCTTCCATTCTGTGTTGTGATAGTATTTGCCTAGTTTAGGGTTGCTGAATTAGCACTTGTCCTTCTCAATATTTCTGCATCATTTGAAATCTATGTCCACGTTATACCTAGTGCCATTAGGAGACTACAAACTGAAGTCTAGTGCCCATTACCAGAGTCAAGGGTTTGGGGTTCTTTTTGGAGTGGATTTTTTCATGTTGTAGTATATGTTGATATATTTTTCTTGATAACTTCTAGCATTCCTAAACTTCAAGGTAAAAAATTATCTTTGTTCCCCAGGTCAGCATAGGATGGGCTGTCTGGTGTTTGTCTTCTGATAAAAGAAAAGTTATTAGCATTAAATTAATGTTTAGTTTGTCTCTTCATAAACTCCAAACAACCTTATGACTTTTTTTCTTTATTAATATTTTAAATCTAATGCCAAGATCTGCTTTCATCAGACTTGTTTAAATGGATATATGTGTTCTCGGATGTAATATGTTTAACTACTGTTTAATTCATGCAGCTGCTTTACTATGAAAAGGAGAGGTTACTTTTGTCCTGCTCAATAAAATTTTCCCTTGCGTTTTCATTGATGTGTTAAGTATAAGAGGGACTGAAAGCTAATGATCTGGGTTCCTACTTTGAATGACAGGAATTCTTTTCAATCAGAATATTCTAAATAAATTATGATGAAATGATGTTGCTGTCTCAGTTTGTTTCATTGGTAAGGCTGAGGCACAAGCCTAGGAAGCCATATTTGGCAATTACTCTCTTATCTTTTTTATTTCCTTTGATTTTTGAAGTTTATTTAACTTTATTGTATCCATCTTCTTTTCCCTTCTGCTTTTTTCCCCTTCTCTCTTCCCCTCTGGTCATTTGTACTTACCCAGGTTTCTCCGAAAATACAATCTACCCCGAAAACAAGCCCTAGCCTGATTTTCACACCTGCACCTAATATAAGCCCTACTCCCAAAATAAGCACTAGTTAAGCTCTGCTTACCACCTGATTGAGGTGAGGTGAGCTGCAGGCATAAAAATCAACCTAGGGTGTGGGTAGGGGTGGAGCTGCCCCAATGCCCCACTCCAGCTTATTTTAGGATTGCTGCATCCAGGCCTCCAATGCCCTGACACCTGTCACACCGCCGCCTGGCTTCTGTATCTGCTTGCGGCCACTTGCAGCCAGATGCCATGTGGTGCCACTGCTCATGGCAGAATGCTGCAAGGTTAATCATGCTGGTGGCACTACTCGTACATGCAATGGCACAATGCACCATGCAGCCTCCTGCTGCAAGCAGTGGCACCAATGCAATGAGCCTTGTGATGTCCTGTGAGTGGCACTACTGGAGCAACGAGCCTCAAAGCGTCCTGTGAACAACAACACCAGCATGAGCCATGTGGCATATGACTACAAGTGGCTGCGAGCACCCACAGAAAAAAATGGGCAGAGGCGCAACAGGTGTTGGGGTGTGGGAGGCATGGCTGTGGTGGTTCTAAGGTAAGCAAGTAGAACATCCCTGAAAAAAGAGACCTGGTTCTTATTTTAGGGCCAAAAAGAAAATAAGAACTGGTCTTATTTTCGGGGAAACATGGTAATTGCTGGCTACACTCAATGGTTGCATGGTACTGCAACTATTGTCTCACCCATTCTCCTGCTCAGCTATATCTTAGATAACCAAAATGTAGATTTTAATAAACTCAAAGCAATTATATATAGGAAAAGTATATTGAAAAACAGGAGAACTGGAGAGTGGCAGAAGTAGCTAATACTGTAAAAGGTGACTATAAAAAGTGACTATTTGAAAAAAAGCTCCATTTTAAAAAAGGAAAAATTATAAAGAAAGATCCTGTATTAACAATTTAGAACTGCAGAGATGGTGCTGAGAATGTTATTGCCACACCTATCTTGAATGAATGTCCACCTGCAGTATTTGCTTTGCCTATGAATAAAGCTACTTATTTCTTTATCTCTTAAGTGCTGACATCTGCTATGGGCTATTAAGAAAGGTAGGGGCTGTTTTGTCCCTCTAAAATACGTATTTCTCAATTTCTCGTCCAGGGAAATATAATATTCTGCCTTTTTAATATTTCTCAAAATATTTCATTCTTCTAGGAGAGTGGTGGGTGCTAACTTTCTACAACTTAAAAGAGTTGCAGTTAGTTTGAGTTTTAAATGAGCTATTTGGAATGTATACCTGATTATAGGCACTTTCTCATGGTTATTTTAATGTTTTTAATACTTTCCTTGAGTTGGCAGGAAACTATTTTCATATAATTTGAACTGCTGTCATGGCTAGGCAAGCTTTCTACATTTATTTTGGCTTGAATCGCAAGGGACAGCAAATAAGGTGCTGTGTTTGGTAAAATGTGAGGAGTAGCCTTAAATCTATTTACTTGGTTACATTATCAGGCAGCAACAATAATCACCAATATAAGCATGACAAAACTCTTTGAGTACTTTGCTTATGTTTTGTTCTATTAAATCTTGGAATTACAGAAATGCATATAATAAAAGTCTATATTGTTAAAAATGCAACATGCAACAACTTCCTAGATCAGTAGTGCACACACAGTAACATTTCAGGATTATAGTATGGAAGAAACTCAACTCATTTGGAGAATCCTGTTCTTGCTAAAATGTGCATCACTGAATGCCGTTAACATATTTTGCTTTAATATTCTTTCTCCCCAGTTTCCTCTAGCTTTCACTAATAGATGAAATCATTCAATATTTTCTTGTGTTGCTATGTTACTTGCAGGATGAAGAATGTTTGATTACAAGGGAGCTTCCACTTTAGAAAAAGGAAAAAAAAGTCTTTATTCCTTATATGGCATCATTAGACTATTGAGCACTGTGAATGGATGATTGTCCTTTATTATGCATGGTTGTTTCGTGCAGTCAAGGAGCTCAGAACACTACCAGGAAATTACAGCCAGTTTCTAGCAAAAAGTAGCATTTAAAGGAGAAGCAGATTCTTTAAATCCACTACCAGAAAATTGCAATTAGTTTCTAGCAAACGGGAGCATTTAAAGGAGAATCAGCTTTTTAAATCAAGAACATAAATATGGGGAAATCAGGTAGGTAAATGATTACACTTTAAATTGTTCATCCATTTGTTTGTTTTGCCCCATATCTTCATATGTACTTTACACTGTTAAAGAGTATGCCTTCAAATTTATCTATACTCTTAGACTGATAGAAATTTCTTTCTAGCAGAACATAGTTACATTTAAAATATGGTAACATTTGAATTTCAGGAGTGGGTAGTAGTTAAAAGCTGATTTGCAGAACTCTCCCAATCAACCAATCCCCGTTTTTCTTAGAGACACATGATTAGTTTTGTATTAATTATTATTGTGGAAAGATTTGATTAATGATGTAAGAGAAATAGTGAGTAATAATCTGTCAGTTCAGATGCTTGCTTGTATATTGTTCATAGAATTAGCAGCTGTTCTTGATGGTCTAAGATGAAGCAAAACATTTTTATCTCTGATTATGTTGTTTCAACAAATGGTAGCCTATTTCCTTTTTTATATTTTATGACCTATGTGTTTATTTTATTCACACTGTAACTACAAAATAAATACATAGGTCATAAAATACAAAAAAGGAAATAGGCTACCATTTGTTGAAACAACATAATCAGATAAAAATGTTCTGCTTCCTCTTAGACCATTATTTATTTTGTAGTTACAGTGTGAATAAAATAAACACATTAATCTATAAAAGTAATAAAAGGGGAAAAAACAAAATTATGAAACTCAATAGTAATAATAAATTAGCCCCTACTTCCATCAAGATGGATTACCAAAAATTTAATTAGAGTTGAAGATCTAATGAAATAAAATTGTATTTTAAGGACCCTTTAAAACCACGAAGGAGGAAACTTTACAGAACTCTCAGAATCTGGAAACAATATAATTTTAATAGAAGCTGTTCTAAATTTAACATATTTTGTTTTAGTGGTTAATGTTATCTTGAATTAGAATGCAGTTCAAAAGACATTTAATTCCCTGAAAATGGTTAGTATTTCTGACTGCTGATTTTGGGCTTTGATGATCACATTTAATTTCTGACAGGGCTTTTAAATATTGTTAAAGTGGCAATATATTGTAGCTGGCTTCTTCATTATAAGAGATTTAGTAATAACAATTTAATTAGATTAGATTTGATATGCTAGCCATTTCAGAAGACTGTGGGTGATTAACAACCTTTCCTCCAAACAATTAAAATGGTTAAAACTTACATAAACAGACAGCCTTCTTGACCAAAGACCCAAACCTGGTTGCCTATAGACTAAAACTGCTAGAACAATAAACAGTACAACAATGCCCTCACAAAAACTAAACAAATGCATTAACCCCATTAATTGTGATGCTTTCACAATCTCTTATCATTAATAAAGATTATGGCCCCTAATGACCAATGGCCAAATAATGTCATTTCAGTTCAACATCATCTAATGTTATTTGGCCATACAGAAGATTTTTATAAGAATTATAGTTACTGAAGTTTGATAATCATAAGAGGGATCTATACGTATCAATGCCATCTTAAAGCCTACATTGGTGGAAAATATAGTTTTTTTCTGATAAAGTGCTAAATGGGAGTACATGTAATTCCTTTTTTTGGTGAAGGGAAATATGTATTGTGAGTTCAGCAGAGAAATCCAGTCCATATTGCCTGATAATTTTCCTTCAGTTTCTTTCATTACTCATTCCCATAACCAATTACTTCATGTAAAGTAAAACAGTAATAGCAGTATACATTGCATCTGATGCATCTTTTCAGTTGTAGTACTTTTCAACTGAGGATAATAGCTCAGGAATCAAAATGTTTAAAGTAGTGCTAGACTTACAATAGTTCATTTAGTGACCATTCAATGTTATAACATCACTGAAAAGTGACTTATGACCATTTTTCACACTTACAACCATTACAGTATCCCCATGAACATGTGATCAAAATTCAGATGCTTGGCAACTGACTCATATTTATGGAAGTGGCATGGGGTCATGTGATCACCTTTTGCAAACTTCTGACAAGCAAAATCAATAGGGAATTCAGGTTCACTTAACAACGTTAATATTTTAACAACTGTAATGATTCACTTAACAACTGCAGCAAGAAAGGTCATAAAACGGAGCAAAACTCACTTAACAAATTTCTCACTTAGCAATAGAAATTTTGGGCTCAATTGTGCTCGTAAGTCAAGGACTACCTGTATTTGCCTAGCCTACCCTAAACAATGCTTAAGGTGGTGCTGGATGTTTCTGAATTGATGGTGAACCTCTGAATGCCATTGTTTTTTTAGTTTGGATAATGTCCACTCTTCCTGCTTTGTTTCTAGGAGTGTTTTTAGTTTAGCAAAAGCAAAATGCCACAATTTACCCTCAAAAGAACAGAAGTACAACTCCTTTTCTAAAATTAAAAGCCATAAAAATAAATGAAATAAATGATTACATTTACATATTGTTTATACTTTCTTGAAAGCCCAAATCCGCGCAGAAGTGCAAAGTTTAGGAGAAAATGTATACAATAATTTCATGTGATTATTTTGCTTAATAACTAAAGACAGTATACAACATATAACTAAACTCATGAAAACTAAATAACTAAATTCATAAAATTTAATCTTCTTAACCAGAAATGGGAACCTCATTCTCAGGATTTTTGGCTGTTGGTTTTGATGTTGCAATCTTAAACCATTCTTTCTTCAGTTCTGCAGATAAAAAAGTACTTTTTTTCCTTTCCCTCTTTCCCTAGCTGTACTGGGTTGTTTTTTCAGAACCCATGGAAAGCTTTGAAAAATAGGTTAATTTAATTTGCAAGTGGGTAGCTAATAAATAAGCAAGCAAAATGAAACGGTCACCAGGACTACTAAGAAATAAACACGGCTGCCTTTCTAAACTGTTTATGGCTAAGGGGAGAGAGTAGCCTCTGAGTCAGCAGAGAGAAAAAAAAGTATCTGTGACTGCAGTGCAGGGTGGGGCAAATTTACAACAAATACACTTTAATTTGTTTAGCAATATAATGTTTGGCTGAATGAAAAGAAACAAGTTCTGAATTTTGTTATCAAGCTTGTTATTTCAATTGTGTTATAAGCACAATTGAAACTGGATTCTGCTTTCTATAATTGAAGAAAAGTGTTCCAGAGAGGGAGAATAAAGGTCTCCAGCTAGAGCAGAAAATTGAAGAAAAATTTAAAAAGTGGGTCTGTAATGAAATTGGAGAAGTGATTGTTTAAATCTTACTTATGTTAAGTAAGTAACATAATTATCTGAAAGGACTCAGCATGATTTTTGCAGGGGATAATATGCCATAGTTTGGTCTATTAACATGGCCATGGTTTTGAGGCATGATGCAGGTTTAGAACCCTGCATCACTAATGCCTGTTAAGTTTAGCACCTATCTACAGAGCTTATGTCTTATTGGAAGCTGGCTTTTTCCACGGGCAGATATTCAAATCACTAGGACTGATGGATTACATCCTAAAATACTGAAGGAGATAGGAGAAGAGATTTTGGAACTATTGAACCTATCTTTCAAAGATATTGGAGAAATGAAGAATTATCAGAAGATTGGAAAAGAACTGATGTGGTTCCCATCTTCAAGAAATTGCGGGGGAGGAGAGACTTATCAGCCTGACATCAGTACCTGGGAAGATCCTAGAAAAGATAATAGAGCACCAAATCTGCAAACAGCTACAAACAAGCAAAGTTATAACCAGTAGCCAACACGGCCTTGTCAAAAACAGATCATGTCAAACAAATCTTATTTCATTCTTTGACAAAATGTCTGAATTAGTGCATCAACAAAATGCAGTGAAGATAGTATACTTGGATAATAGTACAGTTGGAAATAGTATACTTGGATTTGACAAAGTTGATCAAAACTTATTTCTTGCTAAGCTAGAAAAACGTGAGATAGATAGCATCATCACCAGATAGATTTGTAACTGGCTGACAAAAGCACTCACCGTATAGTCCTTAATGGAACTATATCAGAGGTGGCATTCAGCCGATTCAGACCTGTTCTGGCATACCAGTAGTGGAAATTTTGAGTAGTTCGGAGAACTGGCAAATACCACCTCTGGCTGGCCCCACCCCTGCCTGCCTGCTCACCCTACCCACCCTGCCCCGTCCAGTTACTCCTCATCTTGCCTCCCTAGCATAGCAAACTGTGTGGCTCATCGCTTGCATTGACCACACAGTCTCACATGGTACCTGTGGCCCAACTGAGGGGCACTGATCTGTCTGCCTGGGTAAGTAAACCTGTGAGTTGGGCCTAGCTAGCTGCCTCCCCAACTGTCCCCTCCTGCCTTCCCTGCCCCCTTCCACACGGCGCGTAGCCCTGCCATGTTTCCTTGCCTTCCCGGCGGTCCCCATGGCCAGGCCCATTTGCCTGTTTTCTCTACTCCCTTCCATGTGGCCTATGTCTCCGTCATGCTTGCCTGCCTTTCCCGCATCCTTCCCAGTGGTTCCCGGGCCCAGGCTCGCTTGCCTACCTTCCCTACCCACTTTCACATGACCCACAGGTCTACCATGCTTGCTACCTTCTTTGCGGGGAAGGGAAGCAGTTGGGCTGCCCTTGCCTTTCATTGGGGCGCATGGAGCAAGACAGAGCTCCTTCAGTTCCTTCTCTTCCCCTTTCTCTTCTTCTCTTTGTGGGCAGAAGAGTTTTCCCCACCCACACCGTCCAGAGATACTCTCGCTTTCCCCAATTTCCCCAAGTATTTCTTTGCTACCTGATGTCCAGCTCCATTGCAGCTCCTATCTCACTATAGTGTGCAGGGAAATGAAAGTTTATGGGGGGCTATAAAAACAGTTCAATCAATTAATTCCAACTTCTCGCAAAATAAAAAGATCTTGCGAAGTTGGAATTGATTGAGTGATTTTTCTTTTTAGCCCCACACAAACTTTCGTTATCCTGCACACCATGACAAGAAACACGACAGAGCAGGAACATCAGGTAGGCAAAGAAATGCTTGGGAGAAGCAAGGGCATCTGGGTGGTGGTGGGTGGGGAAAACTCCATGGCGTGGCCTGGGGCATTGCAGATGAAACTGACAAAAGAGCACCGGCGCGAGGTAAGGAGGAACAAAACAGCCCCATCACACCATGCCCTGTCTTGCTTCCAAGCGTGCATGGACTTTCCTTAGCCCGCACCATTTCGTGTCATTCCTGCACTGACTGGGAGGCAAGCCAATAGTCTGCACCACTTTTTCTGAAGTTTCCCACTTGCCTCTGAATACCAGCTGAATGCTTTCCATCTTGCTGATGGCTTCCCGGCACTTCTCCTTGTAGCACTGAGCTGCTTGGCTTTTTTGAAATCCAGCGCCACTTCTCCGGCTGCAGAGCCAGAGCACTCTTGAAATCCAAGAGTGTTGGATTTCAAAAGCCAAAGAGCAAGGAAGCCATCGGCAAGTATCACAGGGTATTGCTGGAACTGAAGGGACTGGCCTTCCCTGTGCCACTAGCCGTGGGAGGAAGGTAAGGGCAAGGTAAAGCCAAACAGCTGTCCAGGCAAGAGCTGCCAGTGGGGGTGGGTGAGGTTGCAGGGCAAACCTGGCTGGAAGTTCCCATTCCTTTGTTTGTATATCTCCCCAAAAGAGGGAGAGGAGGAAGTTCCACTGCTGTCCCATCATTGTTTCCAGGCAACTCGGACCCAGGCATGATCATCCCTTCACGCGCTGTCCCCGGGAAACTGGAATGCCTGGTGGACTTGTCTGTCTCGCGAGGCAGCAGCGGCCGCCAATGCTAGGGTCGCTGCTCAGGGGATGCAGCCAGGCTGCAAAATTAAATGCTTCCTTTTCTTGCAAGTGCACACAAACTGCTGAATACCACTGTAGAATATGCAATTTAATGGAGAGTAAAGTAAGATTTTACACTTAGGCAAGAAAAAAACCAAATGCATAGATATAGAATAGTGTTGCCTGGCTCAACAGAAGTAACTGTGAGATGAATCTGTGAGATGGAAATTTATCAAACAGATCCAACCAAGAAATAAGAAGAAATTTCCTGACAGTGAGAACAATTAATAAGAGAAATGGGATGCCTTCAGAAATTGTGGGTATACTATCACTGGAGGTTTTTAAGAAAAATTTGTCCAAGGTCCCTTTCAACTTTGTTATTCTTTATAAATCTCTCCACTCAGTCTTACCAAGAGAATGGTGATAAACAATATTTGGAAATGTACATCAGGTCTTCTGATGGCAAAATCTCATCTAGTATCAAGGGGAAGATGACTTTAAAAAAGCTTCCTCTCTTACCATAACGTGCAAGATGAGGCAAGGAGTGCCTGAGGGAGGGAGAGGCCAGGTGAGGCGCCCCTCAATGTGAGTGACATTGAGTTGGCCATGCCCACCCAGTCACATGACCACACAGCCATGCCCACCCAGTCACATGACCACACAGCCACGCATACCAAGCCACGTCCACAGAACCAGTAGTAAAAAAAAATTGAATCCCACCACTAGTGTGGCTGTTTTTGGCTTTTTTTTTCACAGTGCAAATCCCAGCCAACTATGCACTTCATGTCAGCAATAGGAACAAGTAGACAGTAAAAGTTAGAAGAGCATCAGAGTGCAGGGCAATGAAAATCCTAGGTGAAGGGCAGATAAGCAAGTAGATGGGAGTTAAATTGTCCCTGAAGTTTTAAGTGCAGATGGGTCATGTGACAAACCACAAGTGCAGTGCAATGGGCATGGATCACATGCCCTTTTTTGTTCAGTGCTGTTATAACTTTGAATGGTTGTTGAAGAAATGGCAATAAATCAAGGATTACCTGAACATACTTTGAAACAGAGGTCAGAGATGAATAAAGGACAGCACAGTCACCCACATATTGTCAGCAGAATCCCCATAGGAATATTAGGAGATATTAGGTTAGGGTTAACTAAGGTGACCAACACTTTTACAATGAGAAGGAGGACACAAATTGAAGAAAAAACTAAAGCCACTTGCGTGCGGTGCACTCTTGTGCACGGTGTGCTCTTGCACATGGCGCACTCTTTCAAAACATTTTTCCTGTGTGGAGCACATGCGTCTCATAATCGCGTCTCGCCACACTGTACCGAGCCTTGACGAATCACCATGTCAAATACAAATACGTCACATCGCACACAACGGATCGGATCGGCATCGATCAAATATGGAGATTTACAGATTAGTCTTCAAATATCAAAAAGGAGGACATGTAGGAGGACACTTTTCGAGAGAGGACAGAACTTACAAAAGAAGGACTGTCTTCCCTAAAGGAAGGTTTGGAAGGTTAACTAGCTTAATCTGTGCCTACACTTATCAACCATTTAATTGTTGAAAAGAATAATGAATGAATGGATGGATCAAGTTGATTTTGAATTTGAATTCCAAAATGTATCTCTGTAGTGTCCCTATATCCGAGATACAAATATTGTAGAGTAAGTTTTCTATAAATTGGTAAAACTGTTGTTGTTCTTTACAGTTTAAAGTGTAAGTTACTGTAGGATTTTGCATTTTAATGTGCTGTTGTTCAGTAATATTTCTAATATTTTATACTCCATTAGCCTCCAAGCAATTTTCAGAAGAAGTCTTAAGAGCCCACAATGACTATAGGAAGAAGCATGGCGTTCCTTCACTAAAACTCTGTAAAAAATTAAATAGAGAAGCACAGCAGTAAGTACAATTAGATCTTCTTGATTGTATGATAGTATTATACTTTGGTTGCAGACTATTTTTTTTGATACAGGTAGCCCTTGACTGTAATGGAGCCTGCGGCCCATTATAGCTGAAAGTGGTGACAGATGTTAAGTGAGGAATGACCTCCCCACACAATTCCCTGCTCTGCTTATTGCTACGGTTTAATGAATGTGCAAGTTGCTAAACAAGCATGGGTGTTGGAGGAGGCCCTGGGAGGCCACTACTGAGACAGAGGAACACCAAAAAGCTTTTTAAAGCTAAAAGCAGCCCAGGAGGGTGGAAGAGTTCAGCTAGATTAAGGCCCAGCACCTCATTCTAATTCCAGAGAGACTCCCAAACAAGCCTTCCTGCTTGGTGGATGAAGCCATACTTGTGGGATGGGCTTCTATCCTGGTTAGACTGGGACAATTCATCAGGACCACACGACCTTGCCCATTTCACCCTAGATTTTCCAGCACAGCTGATCCACCAAGGCACTTTGTCCACAGCTGCTCCTCAACTGCTGATACACTGCTGCCACAACTTCTCCACTGCTTCTCCGGCTCAACTTCTCCACGTTTTTTCAGCTCTTCAACACAAACAAGCTGCAAAAAGATTTTCTTTTCTTTTTTCTGCTCTTCAACCCAGCAGTAAAGTAAGTAACTGCTGGATTACTTTACTGTACTTTACTGCTAGGTTGAAGTAACTTTACTGCTGGGTTGAAGTAACTTTCCAGGCATGCAGTAAATCCAGCTTTGTTTTTTTATTGAAAAAATGTGAATTTTTGCAGCAGGGAGGGGCTAAGCAAAGGAAAGAATTTGGGAAGCTCTTTCTGAAGCTGCCACCTTTGCATACGGCTGGCTTCCCCAAAACCTAACAAGGGCCAGGAGAAGTTTGCAGTCTCCCAATGACCAGCTGATTGAGGCAGAAAGCTCCAAAATCAGTTGCCATTTTGCTAGTAAATTGTTAGAAGTACTGAAAATGGTGCTGCTTCCAGGAACCATGGGAAGTAGGCCCTGGCCTGGCAAGGCCTTGTTTAGGCAGGATAAAGAGGCGGGGTGGCGGTACTAACCTAGAGTGTCCCTGTGGTCAGTTATAAGGGCCAATGATCATAGGCTGCCATCAGAGGTGATATTCAGCAGATTCTGACCAGTTCTGGAGAACCGGTAGCAGAAATTTTGAGTAGTTCGGAGAACCAGCAAATCCCACCTCTGACTGGAGATTTTACAGTACCCTTCCCCTGCCACGCCCACAAAGCCATGCCCACAGAACCGGTAGTAAAAAAATTTGAATCCCACCACTGGCAGCCATCATAAGTTTGAAACAGGGTTGTATGTAGTTTTTAGAAAGTCTGCCGTAACCTCAAATAGCTTTTTAGTGACAGATTGTACTTTAAGGCCTACCTGCAATGTGGATCTTAAGAATATACTTACTTAAACCAACATTTAATACTTTTTTATGTTTATGAAATATTTAGCTTCAAAGATAATACCATTTTTACAGGAAAATTGGTGACAGGCTATATATCTGGTATAGTAATTTGTATAAAATGCATTTGTTTAGAATTAAACAATTTGTTGCCACAATAATTTAAATTAGTAAGATCCCATATTAATGTTATTTATATATTATATGGATATTTTTGTCTTCCAGAGTAACAAATGCAGTGTACAATTTACACACACACACACACACACACACACACACCCTTCTCTGTGTGCACAAGCCTTCATACTAGTCTTGACTCTTGGCAGATGCCTCAGTTCATAAATCTTTTCAGAAAATTTTCAGAAGTGCTTGCCCTCTTCTTGCATTTTATGCTTAAACCAGGATTTGAACTCACAGTCTGGTGCTTTTAACCAAACTGCTTTATTATTATTATTATTATTATTATTATTATTATTATTATTATTATTATTATTATTATTGATGTTGTTGATGTTGATGATGATGTTGTTATTTACAGTAACTACCTATTTTTTTCCAAGTCATCTCTGTACTTCATGATTTTTTAAAAAAAGGCAAACTTTGGTTACCGTCTAATATTTTTAAAAGAAAAGCTGGCATAATCCCCTTCCCCCAAGTATTGAACATTTTCCTGATCTGACCCTTCACAGGCACCACACTGTGTAGAAGCCAGTTGAAGTGTCCATCTAGCCCACACCTGAAAGCTGAAAAGAGGGCATGTAATTTCAAAAGAGGCTATCTCACTCATCACTATCACTACTCCTTGCTTAGAACAGGATCAAGTGATTTGTTTGTGCTGCACATCAGTCTCACAGTGGTCCACCTGTTCTCGCAAAAGGGAGTTGTTAACCTTGAAAATGGCAAGAAGCAGAATTCACCTGTAATCTGACTGCATAATGCCAACATTGCCCCTTGAGAACAACTGTTCCAGATATTGAAAAAGAAGCTCTGCTGATTACATTAAGGTAGCAATGTCTCCTTTGTTATCTGGGGTAGGGAGAAAATTGCCAACTAGCTGAAAGTCGTACATAATAGTGCCTAATATAGAGAGGCAACACATTAAACTTTAATGGATTACATCTGAATTGCAACTCAGCAATGAAGATGAATACTACCGTACCAGGTAGACCCATTGTCTCATCCCACATCATATATCAAATCACTGGGGCCTGATGGATTACATCCCAGAGTTTAAAGGAGCTGGCAGAGGTCATCTCAGAACCACTGCACCATATCTTTCAAAAATCCTGGAGGGAACTACCAGAGGACTGGAAAAGAGCTAATGTGGTTCCCATCTTCAAAAAATGGAAAAAAAAAAAACAGACCCAGGAAACTAAAGACCAATCAGCCTAACATCAATACCTGGGAAGATACTGGAAAAGATAATAAAAAAACAGATCTGCCAACATCTAGAAACAAGTAAAGTAATAACTAGCAGTCAGCATGGGTTTGTTAAAAACAGATCATGCCAAACCAATCTCATTTCATTCTTCAACACAGTGACTAAATTAGTAGACCAGCAAAATACTGTGGACGTAATATATTTAGATTGCAGCAAGGCATTCAACAAAGTAGACCACAACCTACTTAGTAAGCTAGAAAAAAGTGGAATAGATAGCACTACCATTAGATGGACTCACAACTGGCTGGCAAACTGTACTCAACGAGTAGTCCTTAATGGGTCTAAGTCTACATGGAGGGAAGTAAGCAGTGGGGTGCCACAAGGTTCTGTCTTAGGCCCAGTACTCTTCAATGTCTTCATTAATGACTTAGACGAGGGAATAGAAGGGGAACTTACCAAATTTGCCGATGATACTAAGCTGGCAGGAATAGTTAACACCCAAGAAGATAAGCTCAAGATCCAGATGGATCTTGACAGACTAGAACACTGGGCCATATCTAACAAAATGAAATTCAATGTAGAGAAAAGTAAAGTCCTACAACTAGGCAAGAAAAACCAGAGGTACACATATAGACTGGGTGAAATCAGGCTCAATAGCATTAACTGTGAAAGGGATTTTGGAGTCTTAGTGGACAACCAGCTAAATATGAGCCAGCAGTGTGCAGCAGCAGCCAAAAAAGCTAATGCAATCCTTGTATTAACAGAGAGATACAATAAAGATCAAGGGAAGTGCTAATACAACTCTATAAAGCCTTAGTAAGACCACACCTAGAGTACTGCATCCAGTTTTGTTCACCACATTATAAAAAAGATGTTGAGACTCCGTAAAAATATAGGGAAGAGCAACCAGGGACTGGAGGCTAAAACATACAATGAATGGTTGCAGGAACTGGGCTTGGCTAGTCTAGTAAAGAGAAGGACCAGGGGAGACCTAATAGTGGTCTTCCAATATTTGAGGGGCTGCCACAGAGAGAAAGGGGTCAAGCTATTTTCTAAAGCGCCTGTAGGCCAGACAAGGAATAATGGATTGAAACTGAACAAGGAGAGATTTAACCAGGAAATAAGAAACTTTCTGACAGAATAATCAACCAATGGAACAGCTTGCCCTCGGAAGTTGTGGGAGCACCATCACTTGAGACTTTCAAATGGACTGCCATTTGTCAGGGCAGGGGGTTGGACTAGGTGATCTACAAGGTCCCTTCCAACTCTGATTGTCTGTTACTTGTTATATATTGTAGAAAAATAAATCTGCTTTTGAAGGAAGAGAGAGATATTACACATGCTATTTCTGCTTTTCTACAGCCTGATTGCTTGCCTTCTGCAAGTAATTCAGGTTCATGGTTCTTCTTCAGCTATTGTGGCAAATTGAAGAGACTTATTCTTTTGATTCATGTATGTCCTGCTTTACACTATTCATAGATGGCATAATTGGGTTCTGATGTAGATTTTTTTAAAAAAATTCTAGATTTCAGATTATCTTCAGTGCATTTCTCTGAAAGTTTCTATACATTCAAAGGTAGCCTTATATAAAATATATTGCTAAATAGCATGAATAACTGTTGCTAAGGCTTCCAAATTGAAGGATGGTCATAAACAGGAGCCCTGGCAGCATAGTGATTAGAATGCAGACAGATTCTGTCCACAGCTTGGAGTTTGCTCCTAATGGGGCTCATGGTTGACTCAGCCTTCCATCCTTCTGAGGTTGGTAAAATGAGGGGCAATTTGCTAACATTGTAAACTGCCCAAAGTCTATGCAATTGTCAAAATATACTTGTGCAAACCTGTTCCAAGCAACTTCTGCCACCAGAAGAACAAATACATTTGTTGGCTTAAATAACACTAAACCTAAGTTATATTAACAACTATTGGCTTCTTCAGGCTGGAGAATTAAATAGCAATTAGAACTATTGCAAATCCAGGAGCAGGAACATTGAAATAAACAAAGACCTATCTACTTCAAAGGGAATAATGTTTGAGTCAACAGAAGACTGTATTCGTTGTCCAAATCAAATTGTGACAAGATCTAGGTACAGCAAGAAGTACAAACTAGAACATGATTGAAAAGTAGAAGACATTCTAAATGTCTTCACAAAAATTCAATACCGAAGAGGAGGAACCTTACATGCAAGAAGTTTAACCTTATTAAATAAAATAAGCACCATGCTAGTGCTGGGACTCTGTAGGCCCAGTTAGATATTAAAAAGCAATCCACTTGTCTGTAAATCAGCAGAAAACCATGGTACTCAAGGTAGCAGAGGTGGTGCAATAAAACAGGAAAGGTTAGCAGGAAAAGTGGAGATAGATGGCTTTTCCCCACCAGTGTAAAATTTCTTTTCAAATTAAATGTATACTTCTGACTAAATCCTTTAGGCTATGTGCTCTCTATATTTAGCAAATACTTGCTTATTGTATTAAACAAGGTATTCAGAAGCACTTGCTAGCACAAGAATCCTCAAACACAGTCCTGAATCTAGCAGTGGAAAATGTGGAGAAAATCTAGCATGGGCTTCATACGATCAATCAGGTAAAATAAATCTTTGTTCCTATATACGAAAAGCATGTATTAAACCTTTTAGTGTAAAAAACAAAAACAAATCTTATATAGTGTAAGCTGTAGCACATAGAAACAGAACCCCAATTGATAAATGCATTTAAAATATCTACTCAACAGCCTGTTAATCTTTCATAGATATTGTACCCTATCTAGGGTTCTAAATATTATGCAGTGTAAGCTTCTATGCGAATTATCCCACATGTTCCAGAAGGAGCAGCTCTGTGCCAAGATTCATTTATGCACATTCCATTTACTCTGATGGATAGCTGAACTATAAGCAGACCAAATCAAGAGACATTTTGAATTTTATGGACTAATGGAATGAAGTCAAGTGTATCATGTAAATTTCCCCCCTTTTTTTAAATTTTTGGAAAAGGGGAACTCTGCATTATGGAAAATGATCTGGAAATATTATTTTAAAGGGAGCTTCAACATTAATTTCTCTTGAATGTTGCTTGTAGCACTTTTTAAAATATGGAAAGGTTCCCTTAATTTTTATTTCTTTCCTACCCATGCGAACTTAAGGGAAATTTGAATTTCCCTTAAACCTGGTCTAGTGACATCTCTCCATTCCTTTCCTTATTCTGATTTTTCATCCCACTCCTTTATTGAGCAAATAAATCTTTCTGATTTGCTTGTGTATATCCATAAACTTGACTTATTTATATATCAATCTGCAGACTTTTTAAAAATATGCTTAAATATATATCTCCAAAATTTAAATATGTATTTGCAAATGTGTGCTTTAAAAGTAACATGTACAATGTAAGTATTAGAATATTTGGGAGAGGGAAGCTTAGTAAATGACAGAATATATTAAAATGCCTTGCAGAAAACAGATGAAGTTATTTGCAACCAAAATTTTCAATAGATCAAGCACTTGTATTCTTGGTTTTTCAGACATTCTATTTGGTCACAAGTAAAGGGATTGAACTATTCTTGGATAGTTATCTTCTCTCTACCTTATCTAATGCTGCTGTGCCTTAATCTGTTATTGCTGGATAGTTTTGGTAGATCAATGTAGGAAAGTAATTAAATTATTAGACTAAAGTAGTAAGATCAAATCAAGTCCTTATTTAATCATGAAGCTCATAGGATAACTTGAGGCTAGACAATATTTCTCCTCAGTCTACCTCACAGTACTGTTGTAATAAAATGCAGAGAATAGGAATAAGGTAACAAAGATTTGAAAGATGCCAACAACAGTGGCCCAATTATTGGAAAAAGTTGTTGAAGATAAGTGAAACTAGAAAAGGAATATGCAGGGCATAGTATATATGCCATCTCATATTGCCTTTCCGTCATCAGCCATGAATTCAAGGTAATATATATATAAAGATTTTTCCATTTTTACAGCAATGTTTTTGGCTGAGCTGTAGGGATCTAGGACAACTCACCACAGCCAGCTTGCTCTGGCCAGCATGCTCTGGCCAACTCGCTTCTGCCAACTCGCCTTTGCCAAGTTGACACAGGATAATTTCACACTGTCAACTCACTGGGGGGGGCGGGGGCGGGGATAACTCACCATGGGTGGCTTTAGGAAAAACCAGGTGGATAAATAAGTGAGCAGGTTGGCAGACTGTGCTGGGTGTGGCAGGTGAGAGAGCAGATTGGCAGAGCTTGTGAGTGTGGCAGGAGGATGGACCATGCCACTAACAGAAGAAGCAGCATAGAGCATGTCCCACCACACAGCAGCAGCCGCAGCAGCCCAGTTACTGGCCAACCAATGTTTTGTGCAAGTTGACATGGGCCATGGCAGCACCCAGAACACCCCTGGCTCTGTCCAATGCATCTTATGTGTCCACGGTGATGCCAGCACACCTTATCCTCCCCATGCAGCTGGTGGCCCTATATTGCCTGCCCCACCATCCTCGGCCTCTTCTGTCCAGAGCCCAATGCAGCAACTAGGATTCCTAGGATTGAATTTAGGCAACTCAGCCAGGCATTGGGACTTATTTTTTTCAGATAATATGCATATATTCTCAAGGGGAAAAAAAATAACACTGAGCTTCCTATGCCTCAGATTCATTTTCAAGTAATCCCATGGCAGCCTGCACCGAGCACCAATTGGCTGGTGGGTGGCTGCTTCTGCATGGCAGGACACACACTGCACTTTCTGTTCTGGCTGCTACCACAGCTGGTGGTATGGTCTAACCTCCTGCTGCACCCTGCATGCTCTAGTTTAGTTTAGTTTACTTTTATTGTCATTGCACCTCGTAAATGAAATCAAACACCATCTTCAGTGCACATCATGACCATGACCATGAAAATAAACACAAACACATCCTTCACACAATGAACCAAAAATCCCTGACACTACCAACACCTATCCACCTACTCTGTGTGTTCTGCTCACCACTTGCTTATCTGCATGGCTCTCCTTCTGCGAAGCAAGCTCTCCGAATTGGTCGGAAATTTTTTTGAAACCCACCACTGCTGCTTACCACTCGGTCACCTGTTTGGCTCTTCCTCCAATTGCCCAGGCAATCTTGCCGCACCCTGCCCACTCTGCCTGCCTATTAGCTTGACCACTGCACCCCACACATTCTCCCTACCCACGCTCTCCCCTGCCTGCCCACCTGGTTTATTTATTTATTTGTCAAGCATGTACAAGATAACAAGTATAAGTATGAACATAAACAAGAACAAAGGGAGTAAATACAGATAAATGGGGACAGTAAGACAGGGACGGTAGGCATGCTGGTTTACTTATGTATGCCCCCTTTAAGGACCTCTTAGGAATGGGATGAGGTCCACAGGAGACAGTTTGACGTTGAAGCTGTGAGGGGTTGAGGCTGTAACAACAGAGTTGGGTAGGGCATTCCAGGCGTTGATCACTCTGTTGCTGAAGTCATATTTTCAGCAATCAAGTTTGGAGTGGTTTACCTTGAGTTTGTATCAGTTGTTTGCCCATGTATTATTGTGATTGAGGCTGAAGAAGTCATTGACAAGTAAGACATTGTAACAGACAATTTTTTGTACTATGCTTAGATTGGACTGCAAGCGGCACAGTTCTATATTGTCCAGGCCCAAAATTTCAAGACTGGAGGCTTAGGGAATTCTATTGTGAGTGGAGGAGTGGAATACTTTCGTGGAGAAATACCCCTGAACTCAGCTCAATTGTGCTAATGTCCGATATACAGTGCGGATTCCAGGCAGATGAGCTGCATTTGAGAATTGGTCTGGCAAAGGTTTTGTATGCCCTAGTTAACAATTCAATGTTGCCGGAGAAGAAGTTTTGTAAAATGAGGTTAACAACTCTTAAAGTTCTTCCTCCGACTGCCCGCAATGAGTTGTCTCCATGGTGAGTTAGCCATGTGGAGTTGTCCTGCGGCAACTTGGTAATAGTGAGTTGGCAATGGCAAGCTGGACATAGTGAAATGTCCCATTCTGATATAACAGTGTGCACAAACCTGTCCCCGGTCTCATGTACTTATGTTTATGGAGTTCCTATATGTATGCCTTTAAATAGTCCCAATATGGGTTAGTACTTCAATATCAACATTTTCCCTTATCTTGTGCTTATATTCACGTTGATGTTAAATAAATTAAAGATTTTAGAAAGTAGCATGCAAATATTTTAATAATTACAAATTATTTATTCATAAATATCTATTTCATAGCTTTAAATTCCAGGCATTTAAAAATTCTTTCAATGGTATTATGTGCTCACAATTTCATTTAACTTATTTTAATAATTTCTTAAGAAATCAAACTATAATGACTAATGGTCAATATCTAAATCAAACTGAAATTAATAAAAAGAATTGTTGATCTGTAACTGTTGAGAAGAGAAGAGAAAAGTTCACTTCATTCCAGTTCCATTGCACAGTTTTTTTTGTCTTGCAGGAAGTGAAGTAGCTGACAGATGGTATAATGAAATCAAGAATTATAATTTCCAAAGCCCTGGATTTTCCTCAGGGACTGGTAGGTATACTGGTCACTGTACTGTATCATGGCAGAAAAATAAACATTTGGTTTCTATCCAAATTGTAAAAGCTCTTGATGACAGAAATACAAGAATATAATGTTCAAATATTGACAGAAACATTTTTGAGTCATAGGAATATATGGAGGCTGAAAACATTTTAAAATACTTCTCTAATGTTTTAATTCAAAGCATCATTGATTTCAAATATAGGTATAGTTTAAGTTCCCAGAAAAGAAATGGATTACTTAGAAATTTTATTAATAATTTTATGTTTATTTGTATACTGCACTTGCATTTTAATGAACTTGCCTTATTTACAAAATATATAGCTATAGCAATAGCACTTAGACTTATATACACTTCACAGTACTTTACAGCTCTCTTTAAGTGGTTTACAGAGTCAGATATTGCCCCTAACAATCTGGGTCCTCATTTTACCGACCCTGGAAAGCTGGAAAGCTGAGTCAATCAAACTGGTGAGAATCAAACTGCCGAACTGCTTGCTGTCAGCAGTCGGCAGAAGTAGCCTGCAATACTGCATTCTAACCACCGTGCTATTATGGTTCTTTATATAATATACAAATATTATATTTCCAATATGCAAAATACACACACACACACACACACACACACACACACACACAGAAGTGTGTGTGTAATATATATATATCTTCTGTTCAGTTATGTCTGGGTAAGTCCCTGCAGTTTTCTTACACACACACACACACACGTGCGTGTGCGTGTGCGTGTGTGTGTGCTGGGGGAGAAAACTACTCTCCTGCCTCCCCAAAATTAAAACAGCTCATTATTTTTTCACATTATTAAACATCTATTACATGGAATACTGATCATTTTTTTCTTTATGCTGGTGAAGAGAGCCATGTCACATATAGAAAGTGAATAACATATCTACTTGCTTATCACATAGAAACCAACACACAAATTTGTAAGCAGATTTCAGTGGAAAATGATCCAGCTGACTCTGGAAATGGCCATATCTTTTAATTTCCACAATTGGCTTATCTATGGATAAATCACAGTTACCCATTGGTCCTGGTATTTTGGTTAAAAATTTGAGATCTATCTTTTTAAAAAATGGGTTTATATACAAGTATACATGGAACACATAAGTACTTTAAAAAGTATTATCATATATATTTGCAAATAAATCTATACATATATAAGCCAATTTTTAGATGTACTTTTGTACCTAAAATTCTCATCTTACCCATAAATGTATATGTCAGCCCCAAGATTATCAATTTAACTTTTTTATTAGCTTATTGAAGTATAAATACAAAGAAAAAAAACCATGAAAAAGTAAGAAGAGAGGAAGAAAAAAAGAGGGGATATAGTGTAATGGGAGAAAACAAAAAGAATAAAGCACCAACTTCCGACTCTCTTTAGGATGGTAGAAGGTAACAACTTTTAAGCTACAACTTTTTGCTTTTACACAACAGCAGGTAGAAGTAATTTCTATAACAATAAGCCTGTCTAGCTTACAAAAACAGAATCAAAGTTTCGTGGTGTTTTTTTTTGCTGATTGCAAGCACAAAATCCAGAAGCAATTTCAAAATAGACACAAAATTAGATATAACCTCTGATTTGGATAAAAATAAGATTAATAATCTCTGCTTCTCTTTGCTGTGGGGAATAATGTATAATTCATTCTCATATTTTCAAATCTAGTCCATAATATTTTACCAACTTTGGAATATTGGTTAGCATTACTTAAAGAACTGGCACACCTGTGTATAAACATACTCATACTGTGTAAAACATACTCATTTTATACAAATAAAACAAATTTAATATCCCCAAATCATAATCCTGGCTTCTACTGTTATTCCAATATGAAAGAATAATGGAAAAAATTATACACTCATCCTACAAGTTTTTCTCCCCACTGATTCTAGGCTTAGGGAAAGAGTTTTAAAGGATCACTGAAATAGGTCATTGTGGGGGTGATACTAATTTCTGAATACAAACAGGCACTGAGAAAAAGGAAGGTCTGCTTCCTGAGTCCCATCAGTTAACACAATTTAATTATATGGCATAAGAAAGTAAGTAGGTAGGTAAACTTTATTGTAGTCTTTGACTAACAACTGTACATAAATATATTGTATACACATATATTTAGACACACACACACACACACACACACACACACACTGTGTGTGTGTTTATGTGTGTGTGTGTAAATATATGCCTGTGCCTGAAGAACTTTATCTTGATAGCCAGTACTTCGAACTTCGTACTTTCAGTACTTCGAACTGAAAGTAACCAGCAGAAATCTTGGCTCAGAGATGTTACGTGGGCATGCCATGTCATTTTACAACTGCCCATATTAGACCAGCATATTAGGAAAACTATTGCTGGAGTGCTGTATTGCAGTGTCATTTCTACTGTGCCCTTCTTTTTCAACCATAACGATTTTGGATTACTTTGTATTATAAATTAAAAATAATTCTTTAAGTTTCAAATATTAATATGCAAACATTCCCTGTTAAGATAAATATAGAACTGCTTCTGTAAAACAACTAGTTTCCATACTAGTTAAAAAGATAAATAATTTAAAATAAGTTGTAGTATTCTAATCATACCACAAGATGGAGATAGATCACCACAATTTATTCATTTATTGCTGGGGGTCAAGCTTTTTTAAGCCAAAAATGGCTTAAAGCTAGTTTAATGAAGACAATGCAAAGTATACAGTAACTGTAAGTATTATATACCATATAAACTCCAGTTTGTTTAGAGATATAGGTATAAAAGATTACAGTAGAATAACAATAACAGAACAACAGATTTGGGAGGGACCTTGGAAGTTTTATAATCCAAGCCCTGCTCAGGTAGGAAACCTTATATCATTTCAGACAAATGGTTGACTCTTCTTAAAAACACCCAATATTGGAGCATCCACAACTTCTGGAGACAAGTTGCTGCACTGATTAATTGTTCCAATTGTCAGGAAATGTTTACTTAGTTCTAGATTGCTTGTCTTCTTGATTTCCATCCATTGCTTCTTGTCCTGCCTTCAGATGCTTTGGAAAATAGCTTGACTCCCTCTTCTTTATGGCAGCCCCTTAGATATTGGAACACTGCTACCACATTGCCCCTAGTTCATTTTAAAAAAATTAAATTAGACATACCCAATTCCAGCAATCATTCTTTATATGTTTTAGCCTCCAGTCCAATAATCATCTTTGTTCTTCTCTGCACTCTTTTTTATATCATGGCAACCAAAACTGGATCCAGTATTCCAAGTGTGGTATTACCAAGGCATTATAAAGTGGTGTTAACATTTCATGTGATCTTGATAAAATCTCTCTTTTAATGTAGCCTAGTATTTGTTGGATTTTGCCAGCTGAAGTACACTACCGGCTCATATTTAAATGATTGTTTACTTGGACTCCAGGGTCCTCTCACAGTTTCTATTATTGAGCCAGGTACCACCTATACTTTGTTTTTTCTTGATTAAATGTAGAACCTTACTTTTTTCGCCATTGTATTTCATTTTGGTAATAGGGTCCAATGTTCAAGTCTGTCAAGATCCTTCTGTATCTTAAGCCTACCTTCTGGAGTGTTCGCTATTCCTGCCAGCTTAGTGTTATCTGCAAATTTGATGAATTCCCCATCTATCTCCTCAATTAATTGATGAAGATATTGAAGAGTACAGCTTTGGGGTACTGACTGCATGTGTCCATCCATGTAGACACAGTTACATTAGGACTATATGTTGAGTGTGGTTGATCAGCCAGTTATGAATCTATTTGGTGGTGATGCTGTCTAACCAGGGGTGGGATTCAAAATTTTTAACAAGTGGTTCTGTGGACATGGCTTTAGTGGTGGGCGTGGGCTTGGTGGTCATGTGACTGGGTGGACATGGCTTGGTGGTCATGTTATTGGCTTAATCCTGTAAGCCAACTCAATATCATTTATATTGAGGCATGCATCTCCTCACCTGGCCTCTCATGACTGTAGGGATGCAGTCGTAAGTGTGAAAAATGGTCACGTCACTTTTTTCAGTGCCGTTGTAACTTTAAATGGTCACTCCACACAAGCAAAGTACCAGCAAAGGAGGGGAAAAAAACTCCAGAGATGTTCCTGAGACAGGAAGTCTAGTCCTGCCAAGAATGTAATAAGGGTTAACGGAGAGGCAGTTTCTGTAAGCAACACCAGAATGTTTCCTTCCTGCCTTCCTTACAGGATTAGGCCAGTAATTTCTTCTAACAACCAGTTTTCCGAACTGCTTAGAATGTTAACAACTGGTTCTAGCAAATAGGTGCAAACTGGTAGACCCACATTTTTCTATCTTATCAAATAATATGTTGTGGTCTACTTTATCAAATGCCTTAATAAAGTCCAAGTAAATGATATCCACAGCTTTTGTCTGGTCTACTAATTTTGTCACTTTGTCAAATAGTGCAATAAAATTTGTCTGTCTTTGATCTGATCTGTTTTTGACAAACTCATGTTGGGTTTTAGTTGTGACTTTGTTTGTCTTTAGGTATTTGCAGATTCATTGTTTGATGATCTTTTCCAGGTATTGATGTCAGGCTGATAGGTCTGTACATTCTTGAATTCATCCCCCCCCCCCCCGCCTTTTTCAAGATGGGGCCTTGCATCAGCCCCTTTTCAGTCCTCTGATAGTTCCCTGGTGATCCAGGATCTTTGAAAGATATGGTTCAGTGGTTTTGAGATCATGTCTGCCATTGCTTCAGAACTTTGGGGTGTATTCCATCAGGTCCTGGTGATTTGAATATGTCTAGATGGATAGGTGTTCTCTTACCATTTTCTGGCCTATTTTAACTTGTGTTACTAATCTGTTTTTTATGGTACTGTTTTTGAATAGTTGGGTTAGTTTTTTTCTTTTATGTAAAGACAGATGCAGAAAACAAGTTAAGCAGTTCTGCTTTCTGTCTGTTGCTCATAAAATAAAATAAAAAATATTTATTATACAGAAAATCAAATAATAAATAATAAAATAAAGAAGAATAAATTATTTTTAGGGCTAGAGTTTTTAAAATAAATATATACAATGTAAATAAATCTTAGGGTTAACGCTAAACCCTAACACTGATTCAAGGCTAAAACATTTCTTATATCTACAGAATTAAGCAAGATTTATTCCATGTGCTGGGATTTCTTTCTTCCCTGAAATTCTAGTGAGTCAATTCTGAAGCTATGGAAGGGTATTAAATTGCATATGTTTATTGCCTCGGTCTAATTTCTCAGAATTCTGCCTCTAGTTAATATATTAACTTCTTATTCAAGAAAAGAAGGAATTGGAATATCTAAGTTATGTTTAAAGACCAAATATATCTCTGTGTGACAGCCGACACATTTCCCTCTTGAAATGTACTGAAACTCAGGTGCTAGTTGTGGCTTTACATATGACTTGATAGTTCATAAGACTTGGTAAATTAAACAAACAAGAGTGTTCTGTAAGTCAGTTCTTAACTAGAGCAATTATTATGCTAATTGCAATGACTTGATGAATCTCATAAATAATGAAACTGGTCACATATTACATCCTAGTGGTTAAATAATGTGTAAAAACATATTCACTAGAACTAGTTATATTTATTTAATCTCAGTGTCATCCTTAAAACAGTTCCTACCGAGGTGTTTAGAGTTGGATTTAGTCCAAATAGAAGGGATCAATTCCTGATGTAATGTAAACAAATTAATATAGTGGTACCTTGATACTCAACTGCTTTGAAATTCATAGAAATTGCTATATTTTTAATGTGCTCATAAATGATCTGGAAATGAGGGAGCATAAGGTAATCGTATTTGATGATGGCATCAAATAATTTAGAATGAGAATGAGAATAGAATAGAATAGAATAGAATAGAATAGAATAGGAGAAGAGAGGAGACGAGGTGAGATGAGATGAGATGAGATGAGATGAGATAAAATGAGACAAGAAAGCTGGAAGGGACCTTGGAGATCTTCTAGTCTAGTGTCCTACTCAAGCAGGAGACCATATACAATTTCAGACAGTCTCTTCTTAAAATCTCTCACAACTGATGAAGCACCAACAACTTCTGAAGACAAGCTGTTCCACTGCTTAATTATTATCATTGTTAGGAAGTTTCTCCTTAATTCCAGGAGAATTCCATTTCTTTGATTAGTTTCCATCATTATTTTTTGTCTTGCTCTCTGGTGCTTTGCAAAATAAGTTGACCCCTTCTTTTTGTGGCACCCTCTCAAATATTGGAATACTGCTATCGTGCCACTTGTAGTCTTTCTTTTCTCTAGACTAGCCATATTCAATTCCTGCAACTGTTCTTAATATGTTTTAATCTCCAGGACTTTAATCGTTTTAGTTGGTCTTCTTTGCACTTTTTTTTTTCAAAGTCCCAACATCTTTTTTGTGGTAGATACTGGATGCAGTATTCCAGATGTGGTCCTACTAAGGTTTTATAAAGTGGTACTAATACTTCACATTATTTCAATTCTATGCTTCTGTTTGTACAACCAAGGATTATATTAGTTTGTTTGGCTGCTGCCACACACTGCTAGCTCATATTTAAGTGATCATCCACTAGGACTCCAAGGTCCCTCTCACAGTTAACTGTTTTTGAGCCAGGTTTCACCTAACATGTACTTGAACCTCTGGTTTCTCCTGCCTAAATGTAAAACTTTGCATTTCTCCACATTAAATTCCATTTTGTTGAATAGTGCCATTGTTCAAATCTGCCAAGATCCTTTTGGATCCTGAGCTTGTCTTCTGGGGTGTTGCCTATTTCTGCCAGCTTAGTGTCATCTTCAAATGTGATAAGTTTCCCTTCTAGTCTCTCATTTCAATCATTTATGGAAATATTGAAAAATATGGGGTCTAAGATGGAATCTTGTGGTACCCCATGGCTTACTTTCCTCCATATAGATGTAGTACCATTAAGGATTACCCCTTGAGTATATTTTGTTAGCCAGTTACAAATCCAATTGAGAATGTTGATGTGTTCCAAAGAATCTCTCGTAATACATATTATATCTCTTGTATTACATATTATAAATATGTATTAAAATATTTAGACAATGAAACTAAATGGCATAACAAATCGCTTAAAATTGCTATCACAAGGTGGTCATCATGGCATCATATGGAGGGTATTAGTTCAGAAGGGTATTAGACAAATTCATTAATGGTAAATCTACTGGAAACTGCTTCTAATTGAAGTATAAATAACAGAGGAGCAGGCTTCTTGAAATCAGTTGCAGAGAAAATTGAGTGCAAGGCTAGGTAGAAGAGAACAAATAGTAGAGTTTCAGGTCAATCCAAATAAATATAACAGTAATAACAGCATTCCCAAACACAGTGATATAGTAAAACAAATGATACAATTAAATAAATATTTACTTCAGTGTCTAAAAAGCAAAACAATTCAGCTTATCAACATTGACTCTGAATTGAGATTGAAAGCAAGAACTGTTTATTTCAAGCCACTGTCAATAGTGGCTTGAAATATAGTCAAATCCATCTCTCTCTCTGATCAATAATCTATTTTGCATTTGCTGTAGAAAAAATATGCATGTGGAAGAATAGTTTGTTTGTATTCATTATTACAATTTACTATAATTTGAGGCAATTCTATCCTATTTACTTTGACATGCTAAAACAGAAAAATAACCAAGCATTATTTGCATGTTTTTAACATTTTTGTTTTCAGAAACTTATAAGGTTGACTCAGCCTTCCATCCTTCCACTGTGAGTAAAATGAGAACCCAAATTGTTGGGGGCAATATGCTGATTCTGTAAACCTCTTAAAAAGGGCTGTGAAGCGGTATATAAGTCTAAGTGGTATTGCTATAAAAGAAAACCTCTTTCATTCACATGTAATTACTTTTCATAAACTATTACTACTATTATTTTTCATAAACTATTAATTTGATATTCCTTTCTCTTTACTTACTATGGTCTGATACTTGTGACCAAATTTTTATTTTTAGAGCTAATGCATTATTTTTACAATGTGCTTGATTTTTCAGGTCATTTCACAGCAATGGTTTGGAAGAACACAAAAAAGATGGGAGTTGGAAAAGCAGCTGCAAGTGATGGCTCCACATTTGTAGTGGCTAGATATGAACCTGCTGGCAACATTGTAAACTCTGGGCAATATGAACAAAATGTTTTTCCACCAAAAAAATAATAATCTATATGAAAAGGAGATTGTTTTCAATAGGTTATAAAAAGAAAATTGGGAGTTCACCTGATTATGTTGGATAAATCACTGTTGAATGGTACTTTAGTCTTTTAATGATTATTTCAAGAAATGTTTAATAGTAGTTCTGCCTACAAAATTAATTTTTGTACAGAACCATTCCTGAAACACAATGAAAGATATAGTGAAAACACTGAAAGACAATGACAAAAGCCAACATATGGAACATACATATCAAGAAATGTAAGAGCAAAATATATTAAAATAACAGTATAAAAATTATAATATTTTGATATTAAAATTCGCAAATATGTTTTAGAGTGTTTATATAATTTCATATTTCTACAAAATCCCTTCTCTAAAATATATTTGCAAACTTTAATATCCAATTATCATATTTTAATACTGTTATTTCAATATATTATATTTTCAAGGATTTCTAAAAAGAGGAAAGACTGATTTTATTTGCCTACAAATACTATTCATCCCCACAGGGATTGATTGTGTGGCAACAGTTTTAAATATGCTAGTCTGAATGCATATGAAAAATAGCAAATGTCCTAACATAAATTGCATGAAACTATTTATCTGGTGCATCCATCCAGTGTTTGTAGATAAGCATGGACTGGCATAGTAGGTGGTAGGCATTCAGAAAATATAACTATTTTCACAGAGCATAGAACCGTTGGACTCTCGTCTGACTTGTTTTTGCTTTTATATAAAATGCAAGGACAGATTAAATGAATAGTCTCATTTCTCAATCTGGAAGTTTACTGAAGCTTACAGAATTACTATTTATCTCACCCTCTTTTTATATTGCAAAGACTTTGTATCAGTGCAGTATATGGAGAGTGTGAGGCTCCTATTAGGGACAGCTGACAAGACTGAGAAATCAGTTGGTAGTGTCTGCACCATCTGAATAATGCAGTTGATGCTACCATTGCCACAATAGTCATGGCTTTTGCTTAGAAGTCACACTTTTAAAAGAAATTTTTAAAAAGACTTTAAAAGGTTGAAAAATTTAAACTCTCCTAGTTAGGATAAACAGATGTTAAAATGAATATATTACCCATGACAATTTTTTTAAAATTTGAAATGCAACCAATTTTATTCCCATATAAAACTTTTCAAGACTGGAAAAAACATTCAATAGATTTATATGGAATGGGAGAAAACCTGAAATAAATTTTAAGATTTTACAAGATGGACCCAATTAGCAAAACAAAGCTCAGGATCATATTGGTTGGAAACATATGAAAAAGCCCTTCGTGTAGTGGATAGATGGATAGATGAATGCTCTAATGGATAGACAGTGCTCTAGTGGATAGACAATGGCTAAAATGATGATGGTGATGGTGATGATGATATTCTTCCATTCAGTCCTGTCTTGTTTTTGGAGACTGCTTGAACAAGCCCTGCAATTTTCTTGGCAAAATTTATCAGAAAGTAGCTTGCCATTGATTCCTTCTTAAGGTTGAGAAAAAGTGACTGGTCCAGAGCTCTAAATGGCATGGGTCCAGACTATTTGAGGAGCCATCTCACTCCAATAAGACTAACCTGCCCCACCTATTCCAGTGGAAGGTGCCCATTGGCCAAGAAATTCCAGCTAGCAATGTCAAAGGGAAGAGCCTTTTCTACTGTGGCCCCAGCCCTATGAATCATTCTACGATCAGAAGCGAGAACTGTTCCAACTCTTCAAGCATTTCAGAAGGGTATTAAAACCTGATTTTTGCCAGTTGCTATATAAGGTGTTCATTGCTGGAAGTGGTTGACAGAATAAGAAGAAATCTCATCCCAATGTTGTTTGTTTACTTGGTTTTAGTTTTTATATAATGTTTACATTTTTTAATTGTTTCTATACTTTTTTAAAAAAAATTGTAAGCCACCCAGAGTCACCTTATCATTGAGAGGGGAAAAGTATAAATACAACAAACAAACAAATAAAAAATAAACAAATAAATAATCACAAATAATAGGACTTTGTGTCCAAGGCTGGGCTAGAACTCATCTCCTGATTTCTAGCCTGATGTGTTAACTACTGCACCAAACTGGTTGTCTAAACTGGCTGTCTAATATTGTATAATATAGTATACATATTACTTATCACAGATAACAGAATTGAGAAAATGACCAAATCATAGAATATCAGTTTCTCTCAGACCTAAGCCCAAAGACAACACCATGGAATCCAATAAAGTTGATAACCGCATTACTAGGCTTAGAGATTTTATAAGCTCAAGTGACTTCCCAAGCACCAACTCATAAGGAGAGATCTCCATATCATTCATAGATCTAGTCTACAAGGGGAACAAGGCTACAGGCTGGATTTGGGGGCATTGATAAATGCTTCTCCTGACAAAGTTTATCATGTAGTGTTTTTAGCATCCTGTTAACTCACTGGGCTTCCCTAATGGCAGCAGGTTGTAAGGGGTATGTCAGTTTTGGGTGTCACACAAGACTTTTAGAATGTGTGAAATGATCTGAAAAACAAAACGTTTTCTTCAATCCATGTCCAATGTGCTAGATATCCCAAATCATGGCCTAATATCCTTTAGGAGGTAGTGAGCAGTTTCAATGGTTGTAGCATGTCAGCAAGAAACTCACTATTATCAGTGAAACTCACTGTTATCCAGTGAGTTGATCTCCACACAGAAGAATGTACTGGAAGCCACAAACTTCTCCAAATCTTAGAGCAGAGGTGTAACTGTCTCTCCTTACCAATGAGCGCAAAAAAATAATAAAAATCTACAAAATCCTAAATAGGCACAGAATTGCACCCACCAGAAAAAGTGTGGATGGAGAAAAGACTGTACTTAAAGAGAATAATTTATTTGGATGCAAAATTTTTACTCTGGTGAGCTCAGGTGAATGATATGACTGTCTGCATTCTTTGTTGGGGAGAGAGGAGCCCTTCCCTTTGTTACGCCAAAGAGAGAGGTGACAAATCACACCAACTCCATATTTACTCTTTCTTTTGCTTTATCAACTGCAAAGTTATGACTATAAATGTTTTTTTTTAAATTCAGTATAACGTCAAAGTTTTTTCTAATATTAAGAGATGCATACTTTTGAAATCAATTGAATGCAATTTGTGCACAAAGGTTTTTTTCCTCGAACCATAAATGCAGATTTTAATCACTGAATTTATATGAATGAACTAAATATGAATTTCTATATACTGAATGATCTGAATAAACCGAATGATCATTTCCAGAGTCTGGCTGCTACAGAACCTCTGACTGTTGCAAGGCAAGGCTTTGTTACTACTAAGCATAAAGCAAAACTGCAAATTTAAGTAAGGCTGCAAGTGTATTAGAATAGCTAAACTGTGATTTATGAGGACTGTAGAACTCTGCTCTAAGCTGGCCATAAGATACCACAGTTTCTGTTTTTCTGCAATTATTACTCTACCCTAGAAATAATACACCCAGTTTCTATTTCTCTACAATTATGATTCTACCCTGTGAGTGATAAAACTGTAAAGACTGCAACATTTTAATGGAAAGAACCTCTTCAGTATTATTGCAAAGTACTGTTTTTTTAAAAGTAATTGTTTATATTAACTACAAGCTGATATTTCCTTTTCTTCCATTCTAGCTGAGATTGTAAGTATTTTTCTTTTCATTGTTTTATTCATTTGTCAGTCCTTTATACATCTGTGGATTACAACCTATACCTAGTTTAATGCATTTAAATTCTACGTCCACATTAATCACAAGCAGAACTAAAAGACTAACATTTAAAAAGAAAATTTTAGTTTAATTATTTTGCAAAAGAATATTTTAATTCTTTTGGACTTTTTGAAAATGAAGTATTTAATTTTATATCAGAAGGGACATTATCAAGCAATCTAGTGACAGCAGGAAAAATAGCCTGGACTCTCCCCCTGTTCCTCTCCCCCAAAGGCTGTTGTATAGTTGGTGTATAGGAGATTCACTTCAGGGAGGAACAGAACCAGCATTTTGTAGATTGGACAAGGAGCAAAAATCAAAGATGTGACAGAGAGCCTTCCTAAAATAATCACACTCACAGATGTTTATCCCTTTCTTTTCTTCCATGTGGGGACAAGTATGACAATGAACCTAAAAACAATATAAAGAGACTATACATGAAAGCCAGAGAGTTATAGATGGTGTTTCTTTTTTTCTTTTTATATGTTTTTATTAAGTTTCTAATTTTCAACATAAAACATCATAGTTTCAACAACATTCTTGACATCTATACACATTCTTATAAGTATCTTAACACATTGTATTTATATTTATCTAATATTAATAACTTTAACTATAATCATTATTTCTATATTCTTACATAATTTACATTTTACATTCTTAAGGTTTCTTACAATTAAGTTTCTTGTCTTAATTTTTTTGTTCTGTTTGCTAACCAATCATACCATTTATTCCAGATTAGGTAATAATCACAGTCATCTCTTCTTTCAATTTCAACGTTAACATATTCATTTTGGCACTTTCTGTTACTTTTTGTAATATCAGTTCTTCTTTAGGAACATTAGGAGTTTTCCATACCTGTGCAAAAGCTATTCTGTCGACTGTTGTGATATGTAACAATAAATATTTTATTTCTTTTGGTATTCTATCTTTAATAATTCCTAAAAGGAAGGTTTCTGGTCTGAGCTCGATCTGATAACCAGTAATCTCTTGAAGCCAGTTTTTAATTTGAATCCAGAATGTCCTAGTCTCAGGGCATAGTCAAATAGGTGGTGTTTTCATCTGTAGTTCCAACAAAAGATCAACCAATGAGGGAATAAAGATTTTTAAGAAATAAAACACTGGCTTAAGGGATGGTGCCATTGAAATAACTTGAGGTTCACTGGTCTACAATGAAATAACTTGAGGTTCACTGGTCTACATTACCTACATGAGATGCTTTTGTCAGGTAATGGGCTGCACCTCACAAGAAAACGACTAGGTCAGCTTATCCAAAAGGCTAAGGCTAAAACTGAGCAGGAGGGGGATCTAATCCCAACCATAAACCCCAAGACAACCAAACAAGGAGACAGGTAGTGGTGGAAAGGAAGGAAAAGTCAGATATAAATGAGATGTAGGAAGCATACCCAGGGTCAGCCATAAAGGACTCAATGCTCAAAATGCTCAAAATTGAGGAACAAAGGTGACCTTGAAGTACTAATACATGAGGATAGATATGATATAATGGTAATTACCAAATTTTATGGGATGAAATTCACAACAGGAATGTAAAGTGGAAAGGATACAAAAAAGTTCAAAAGAAACAGATTTAACAAATATGTGGGGGAATTCCATTACATGTAAGAAATGCATAAAACCAAGGATGAAAGACTCCTTGAATATATATGGCTTAATATAAAAGGGGAAAAAAAGAATAACATTACCATCGTTATATTCTACAGGCTACTCAAGCAAGCAAAAAAAAAAAAGATGAACATTTTGTTAATCAGAATCTTTGCAGGAAACATACCACAATAGTAATGAAGGACTTCAATTGCCCTGACATCAACAGGGAGACAAACTCTGCATCAAGTGGGGGATCAAATAAGTGCCTGACAAACCCAACTGACAAGCCCAACTTTGTCAGCCAAAAAGTAGAGGCGGAAACTAAAGATGAAATGATATAGGGGGTTGAAATTGTGAGAACTTTAACAGATGTAACAGATAATCAGAGTTGTAAGGGACCTTGTAGGTCATCTAGT